TTTCCCTACCCTCCTCTACACCCCAATTTGAAGGGGAACAAAACAACGATTTTTCTATGAAAATTTTACTTCACCTACACTCTGTTAGCTTTCCTTAAAAAACTCCCAAACGGAGTTAAGTGTTATTTTTCCTTCCCTTATCCTTGACTACCCATCATCCAAACACACCAGTGATACCTGGAAATGTCCATGTATTCATCAGATAATTGGTGCTATAGAGATATTCAGAACTACAACTTTTTTTGGGGTGGGTGGGTGGGGGGTTGGGGGGCATTGGTCCAAAACCTTTTCAATTTCTAGCTTAACAATAAAAAAAGAAACAAACAATCATTTTCATCAATGACTTGAAGTTGTTTCAAGCAAGTAAATGTTACTTTGACTCGGTCCTGTGTGACCCCAAATCAACAGCTCTCAAGTTGTGAAAGATGTGGAAAATATGAAAAATGAGTTTGTTGAGAGAAAATCTCTCAGGGACGGTTATGAGGGGTGGAGATAATGAGTTTGAGATCGTTCTCCTTGAGAAAACACAACAACGTAGAATCAAATTCAAATTCTCTACCTATTACCGGAGCCCCCTCAAAGAAATCTGCTACTCTTTCTCTTCTTCTCTGCAGTCGATCAATGGTATCAGAACACAAGTTTCTTCATCATCTTCAAATCCCGTTGCTATTTTCCCAACAAAGAAGAAGCTCTCTCTCTCTCCAACTTCTTTAAGAAGAAGCACTCTCTGTTGAGCAAGCCTATTCTTTGAAGAAAAAATACACTTTGTTGAGGTTTGTCAACGACTCATTTATTTTTTCCTAGCCATAACCAGCTAGCCTACTCTTTGTAATAAATCTTTATTCATAGCCTACTCTTAATCCAGCTAGCCTACTCTTTGTTCATAGCCTAGCTGCATGCCTACATCTACAAGGCCTAGCCTACTCTTTGTTCATAGCCTACTCTTAATCTAGCTAGCCTACTCTTTGTTCTCCAGCCTAGCTTGTTCATAGCCGGTTACATCTACCTACATTCATAGCCTATTAGACCTGGTTGTCCAGTACTCTACATCCACTCTATTGTTTCATAGCCTGGTTGTTTTCATAGCCTAGATCCAACTTATCTCTTACTAGCCTATTATCCTTTGTCTTTGGGCTTGCTTAACTAGTGTTGTATGCTATTTTCACACTTAAATAAATTAATATTGTGTGGGCCGAGCGAAGGCCTGTTTCACCTATCCAAGTGGAGGGCGTCGCGCAAAGCTGGTTTCACACAGCAGATCATCTCCACAATTCAGACAGAACCAACTTCGACAAGTGTTGATCCAATCAACACCGTTGAGTGACAATCTCGCTTAAATTGGAGCCTCTTTCATCAACCTGGAACAGTCAGGTTTATTTATTTATTTATTTATTTATCTAACTTTATTCTATTTTAGTATAATTGTCAATATACCAATCTTATACATTTTTAAAAATTGGATTTAGTTTTAGTTCTCTACCGAATGGCTAGTAAACTCGTTCTATCAGAACTAGAAAAAATTAACAAATTTAATAGCATTAATTATGATATGTGACATAGAAAAATAGGATATGTTCTTATTCATGCCAATATTGATGATATAATCGAAACCATTGCTCCAACCTTTATTGATAAATCAACACCTAAAAAAAGAAAGGGTTTGAATAGTGGAAGTCGAAAGACAAAAAGGCAAAAAGCCTTATGCTCATGTTCATGGAAGATAACTTAATCAAAGTTTTTAAAATTTATAAGACTTCCATGGATATGTAGAATGCTATAAAAGAGAAATATGACACCGCCTCTGAAGTTAACATTCAACTCCTCTTGTATAAGTATAATTCTTGTCGTATGCAAGAAGGAGACAATGTTGTAGAACATATAAACAAGATGATTGTCATGACTAAGGATTTATCCACTGCTGGGACCAAAATTCCGGAAAGAATGTAAGTGACAACTATTTAAATAGTCTTCACCTTTCTTTGTTGTGGCTGCCATCACATTGAGAATGAACCATGCCGTTAAATCTGTCACCGATCATCCTATACACCTAACGATAGAACATAACTTAATAGCCAGTAAGAAAGAATCAGAACTGAATATGATGCAGCACAAGCTGAATTATGTTCGTCAGAGGTATAATGCAGGAAGCTATAAAAACCCTGGTCCTTGTAAACCATAACCGCGATGACCGAAATCACAGCAATTCAAGTGAAAGAAAGTACCCGCGAAGCCTGCTACAATTGTGGAAAGTTTATGCATTTCAAACCCAATTACCCACAAGGTAAAAAACAAGAGAATAAGGGAGGCTATAAGCATCTAGAACAAGAGTGTACTAGCAAAAGAGAATTCGTCGGTGTGACAGAATGCAATGCTGTGATGACGGATATTAGCGGTTGGTGGATCGACTCCGGTGTGACTAGACATATCGCAAAGGACAAGAATGGAGTCATAAAATTTACCTTGCTGAAGAAAGGAGAACATAGAATCTATATGGGAAATAATACCTATCTCGATGTAGAAGGTATTGATTCGTATAGATTAGATCTTGGGGACAGTATTCTTGTCCTCAAAGATATGTTCTATGCACCAGGAATTCAACACAATCTGATCTCTGTTCCTAGCTTGATGAAGAAATGATTGGAAATTAGGTTCTATAATAATCATGTTTCTATAGGTAAGAATAATAAAGTGTATGCTATGAAAAAATATATGCCCGAACATGAATTATGCATTCTTTCAGTAGTTTGTAATGATTCTGATAAAAAAAATTTAAATTTGAACTACTTGTCCTGTTATATTTCTGAGTCTGAATTATGACATTCTAGACTAGGACATGCTAGTATTTCAAAAATAAAAAAAATTATCAGAATGAACTTACCTCCTGCACTATCTAATGTTCAATTGCTACTATGTGAACATTATTTAACTGGTAAAATAACTAAAAAACCTTTTATTGGCGAACAAAGAGCCAATAAATTTTTAGGGTTGATACACTAGGATTTTTATGGTCCCCTAAGTGTCAAAACTTATAGTAATAAAGAATATTTTATTACTTTTATAGATGATTATTCTAAGTTTACACACGTCTATCTTATATCCAGAAAATTAGAAGCTCTTGACTACTTTAAGAGAGATAAGACAGAAGTTGAAAACTAACTTAGAATAAAAATTGAAATTTTGAGAACTGATAGGGGTGGAGAATATAACTCTAAAGAATTTGATAGTTATTGTATTCAACATGAAATTAAAAGGTATACAACAATATCGTATACACCATAACAGAATGGTGTTGCTGAAAGAAAGAACAGAACATTGCTTAATGTAGTTAGATACATGTTGTTTCATTCTGATCTCTCCAAAAACTTTTAGGAAGAAACATTATTAACTGAAAACTATATTTTAAATAGAATTCTCACCAAATCAGTTGCATCTACACTTTATGAATTATAAAATGGGAGAAAACCTAATTTGAGTTATCTCAGGAAGTGGGAATCTATAGCCCATGTTCTCATTTCATATCAACTTAGAGATAAGTTGGATTTTAAAATAATAAAGCGTAGATTTATAAGGTATTCAGAAAAGTCAAAAGGTTATAAGTTCTACAATAAAAAAAATAGGTTATTGAAAGTAGAGATGCTATATTTCTAGAGAATCTAGAGGAAGAGGAACAGTTCAAGAGGAAAAAAAACCTCTAACTGTAATAGATGATGATTATTACAGTGTTGTTCCCATTAATGATCTTGATATTGTGAATGAACCTAATATTAAAAATGATAAAATACCTATGAAAAATAATGTACCTCATCAACCGATTGTCGGCAACAAAAGGTCAAGAACACAACATTCATGGATGGATGATTACTATTTATATTCATGTGAGCCATCTTGTATCTTAGTAGATACAAATATAGAAGAACAAGATCCCTTAACCTTCTCTGATGCGATGAAATCGCATGAATCAGCTTGTAGATACAAATATAGAAGAACAAGATCCCTTAACCTTCTCTGATGCGATGAAATCGCATGAATCAGCTTTATGGCTAGAATCTAGAAGAACAAGATCCCTTAACCTTCTCTGATGCGATGAAATCGCATGAATCAGCTTTATGGCTAGAATCCATGAGAGAAGAACTTGATTCTATAAAAAAGAATAATGTATGAAAGATATGTGATCTACCGAAAAATAGAAAAGCCATAGGATGCAAATGAGTGCTTAAAAAGAAATATCGTATTGATGGATCTATTGATAAATTCAAAACACGGTTAGTTGCCAAGGGTTATAACCAGAAAGCGGGAATAGATTTTCAGGAGATGTATTCTCATGTAGCTAAATTTGCATCCATTAGAATTATTTTGGTTATTGTTGCATATCTTAATTTGGAGTTATTTCAAATGGATATTAAAACTACATTCCTTAACGGAGAGTTGAAGGAAGCGATATATATGCAAAAACCTGAAGGTTTTCAGGTGAAAGGACAGGAACATAAAGTTTACAAATTAATAAAATCTCCATATGGTTTAAAACAATCTTCTAGACAATTGTATCTCAAATTTTATGATGCACTCACTAAACTTGATTTTATTCAAAATAAATTAGATAATTATGTATATATCTTGAAAAGTGGAAGAAAATTTACTATGTGATCCTTATATGTGGATGATATATTGCTCGCTGGAAATGACATAGAAATATTGAATAAAATCAAGACAAATCTCAGTGAAAAATTTGAGATGAAAGACATGGGAGATGCATCATATATTCTTGGAATTCAAATAATTCGAGATAGAAAGTCTAGGAGATGCATCATATATTCTTGGAATTCAAATAATTCGAGATAGAAAGTCTAGAATGCTAAGTTTAAACTAAGAAAAATATTTAAGTTCTTGGAATTCAAATAATTCGAGATAGAAAGTCTAGAATGCTAAGTTTAAACTAAGAAAAATATTTAAAATCAGTTCTTAAAAGATTTGGAATGGAGAATTCTAATTCGACGTCAATTTCGTTGGTCATGAAAAAAATATTATGTAAAGAGCAAAGTCCTGGAGAGGGGCAAAAGTCATTAGATGTTTCTTATGCTCAAGCAATTGAAAGCTTGATGTATGTAATATTGTGTACCAGACCTAATATAGCTTATGCTGTAAGTCTAGTCAGTCGATATCAAAGTGATCTAGGACCAACACATTGGAAAGCTGTTAAAAGGATTATGAAATATTTCAGAGGTACATTAACTCATATATTAGTTTATCAAGCCGATTCGCTTGAACTCCTTGATTATTCCGATACTAATTTCGGAGTTGACAAAGATGATGAAAAATCCACTTCGGGATACTTATTCATCTTTGGAGGATGAGCTATTTCTTGGAGTAACAATAAATAAGGGTGTGTTGTTAGATATACGCAAGAAGCTGAATATATAGCTTGCAGTATGGCAACTACTTGCAGTATGACAACTACACATGCTGTCTGGATAAGACGGTTTTTGATTGATCTAGATCTTAATTTGTTAGAAGGACCTATTGATGTTTATTGTGATAATCAAGCAACAATTAGCTTAATCAATAGTGACGCGAATAGCTCCAAAGGAAAACATATTGAGATCCAGTATCACTATATTCGAGATATTATAGAAAATAAAGAAGTCCAAGTAACCTATATCTCTACTATAGACATGATTGCTAATCCTTTGATAAAAAGAATACCAGCTGAATTTTTTATCAAACACGTAAGTTTGACGGGACTTAAGAATAAATAAGTCTAACTAAAATTTTATGAATAATAAAATAAAAGTTAATCTCTATGAACAGTGGGAGTAATGGTAAGAAAAAACATCTGATCTCACGGATAGTGGGAGGCATGTCACTTTGTTAATTTGGTGAAGTGAGAGATGTTACTTTGACTCGGTCCTGTGTGACTAAATCAACAGCTCTCAAGTTGTGAAAAATATGGGAAATGTGGAAAATGAGTTTGTTGAAAGAAAATCACTCAGGGGCGGTTATGAGGGGTGGAGATAATGAGTTTGGCCCTTATAAAAGGAGGATCGTTCTCCTTAAGAAAACACAACAACATAGAATCAAATTCAAACTCTCTACCTATTACTATTACTGGAGCCCCCTCAAAGAAATCCACCACTCTTTCTCTTCTTCTCTACAGTTGATCAGTAAAGACTTTAGTACTACATTGTCAGATATTCAACCTTAGCCAGGGACTTCAACACCACCCCCACCAAATTAGCTACTCCAATCCTAATAAGCGATTTTCAACATAAAATTGTCTAAAAAAAACCGATTAATGTACTGGGCGTCGATTATAACATAAATAAATATCAAATTCTACTCCCTAATCTTATGGTGAAATCATTTACGAACTACATTAACCAAAGTTCAGAGAAGCTAATATCGCTGCAAACGTCTCAATCGAACAGAACAAGGAAAAAAAACAAAAAACAAAACCCTAGTTTTCTCCAACATCTGAAGAACCTAAATGGGAACAAAATATTTCACAAAATTCACCGCGCCAACAGTTTAAGCTTCATGAAAATAATCGCATTTTGACTTTCGTTTAAAAAAGTATATATAGATTGAGAATAAACGGAGAAGTTACCAATTGGGTATAAATTGGAGAGAAGGAACCCGGCGACGAGAATTAACCCTAAAAAGTTTGGAAATAGTTTGGATAATATTGGAAGAACCCATGTTTGGCTGGCCGCCATATTTATAGAGGGGAGAGCGGGTTCGGTTCGGCTTTCCCACCAGTGGGAAATGTGGATTGGGTTTCGATTTTGTGGGCCCAGCTTGGCTGATCGGACGTTATCTACAGTATTTTATGAATTTATAAATGGGCCTTGTTTAGAAATAGAAGGGAAAAATGTGTCCAGGCCCCAAAAGTGGGAACTTCGTGTGACTAGTACCCTTGTATTTTGCCCCATGTGGAATAGCCCAAAATACGTATAGTATTTGCGACGAGGCCCCGAATTGACTCTTTTCAGAAAAAGTCCAGCGGAAGTTACGATCTTGCCCTCTGATGGGACTGAGCTGGGTTAATGTGCCCCTCACCTTTACAAGTACTCTCCCTCTCTTTCTCTCTCTTCCACCTAGCACCGTCATCAAGAACTCTTCATCTTCCTAATTTCTGTACGAATTTCAACGTTTCTAGGGTTTTCGCCGGAAAAATGTCGACGTCTACGGAAGAATCCAGTAACGACTACGAGGTCGGGCATCGAGCCGAGTTGGAAGGAAAAGGCGCTTCATCAGCGGGTGGCAGTGCGGAGGAAGCTACGGAAGCTACGAAAACCCTAATCGAAATGCAAAAGGAGGCATTACAATGACGAGACCAGAAAAGGAGGACGGCAATGGCTGGTCATACCAACGAACCCCCCTCAAAAAAACAGTAAGTGTTATGTTATACCGCGAAGAGACAATACAGATTAACCCAATATTGTTAGTTCTAGGCTTTGTTCAATGTTAGCTCTAGTTTAAGTCCAATGTTAGTTCTATT